ATAAGTGATGAGAACTGAAGCAAGGAAGATGTTTTCATCTACGAAATCAGCAACTAACTTCATTTGACTGAGTAAACCAGATGCTTGATTGCCTTCCGCTAACGCTCCTGAAGTTGGACTCTTTTGACCTGGACTGGACATCTGAAGTGGTTAATAATGATCAGGAAAAGCTTGGTAAACAATCAAGAATAAGACTTTTTGATGAAATAGATTGGTTTACTTTGGACTCATTCTGGTAGTTGGCAATATGCGGAAAATTTTATTGGAATACAATGGCGTCAACGGAAATTCTGATGATTACTAACGATTTCACTGAGTCTTCACCGAATTCCCACTGAATTTAAACTACACTTCACAGCGGATTCTTGTCGACTAATTCTAACCCAGATATTGTGTTTGGACTCGAATCTTGAAACCTTTCACTTTTTCATCACCCTTTTATTTCACTTTCGTTTTCGATGCAAGACAGTTTTAAAAATGGACTGATTGGCTCACTAGTAATCGATATTGGATGATTCTGTGAAATAGACTACTGAAGAATTCTTAGTTGAAATTCCCCATCGCGCTGGTGATACTGTTGTGTGAAGATGTATTCTNGTGAATGATTTTTTCAGTTCGGTTGTGCTTATGCAAGAAAAAAATTCATACACATTCAAGTGGAACAGATTGTAATCTCTAATGTATGGCGGAGACAGGAATGTGAACGGGACAAGAGCTGTTCTGAAGAAAGCTCTGACACTGGCCGAGAGATAGCCACTAATGATCATCTTCCCTAGCAGATTTGCTTCCTTTTCAATTCGTGTCCATTGCAGGTAATCAATGATGAAACGATGATAAATAGTGTAAAAGAAGAAGCAATCTGCTGCTCACTTTAACGTGATCCATTCGTAGCGCTCGACTGCCATTCGATGGTGTTACTGATGATCGTGTCGACGATGAGTGCTGTTGGAATGTTGTCGATGAAGTCGGTGTTGTAGATTCTGCTGCGTCCATTTGCATCCACTCCTTACTCCAATCCACTTAATTATCACGCTTCTACCTATTGTATATCCGCCAATCAATGCTGCAAATATCGTCCATTCAAAACACTTAATAACCANACGCTTCTACCTATTGTATATCCGCCAATCAATGCTGCAAATATCGTCCATTCAAAACACTTAATAACCATTTAAGGTTACGCACTTAACGTGGCCCTCAGTTCAGATGAAGAAACCAATAGTAAGAACAATGCTACAACAATGATCTTGAAACAGTTTAATTAGACAAGAAAACTGAAAGAGTAATGTGAATGTCGAACTGGTAAACTATAAGACATGATAGAGCGTGTTGTTCCAAAGGTGCCGGTATAGACTGAACGTGCACTTTGGAATACATCTGATAGTGAAATGGTAGTACATCATATTCAAGTTCATCTTAATATCAAATTCGAGTTTGAATAAATAACTTCCGTACTATTCAATTGTAAACTCATCATTTTCCTTCTGCAAATTCCAAAAAGTTTAAGATTAAGGGTAGAAGAGCACCGAAATTACAACGTCTGTGCCGGAATTATACTTTCCTTTTTTTGGAGGAGGGAGAGGGGGGCTGATAATTTATGAAAGAGACAAAACTATCGTAAAGTTGAATAGAGAGCCGTTGGTTTCCACTGGTATGACTTGACAAGTAGTACGAAGAACACAATAAACCAAAATGTCATTGCAATACTGCTGGTTGAGACTCATTGCCTCATTGATGCATGAACAAGAAGTGTATTATTACATCTTATTAAGAGCAGCCGAATAGATCACCGAGATCGCTTGAGTTGACTTGCCCACTTTCATGTTTTGGTGTTTGGATTTTTCTTACAATTAGATTCTAATGCAAATTTCGAACATCCTCAATTCACGTTTCACTGTAGTCCTTCCGCATAGATATCCAATATTCAAAAATTCTTCCAACATTTTACATTAACACAAAACGNTGCATTTAATTATAGAAATCTATCAGAATTTCGCACTTCTACAACACAAAAAATCAATAAACTAATGAAACGAATGACTATTAAACCAAATCCCACAATTGTTGGATAAAATTGGAATTCACACTTCGTACGGATGGATGATGCGTTTGAGCGCAACGAAGCATTTAGCATGAAACATGATTTGCATATTTCTCAACAATGCAATCGAATACTCGACCATCGAACATATTCAATCCAATTACTTACAACTGAATGCAAGCGTAAAATTTTGCTTACAAAAGTTTGACGTTGCTGTTCGGATCACTTTTCAGTTTCTAAGAAATTCGTGTATTTTTGGATACCAATGATAATTCCGAAATGCTGAATGATTTAGAACAACTCTTGTGTTGTCAAAATGTTGAATGATGACAGCACAAGAGCTGTTCTTGATTACACTGCGTTACGAATCCCAGTTATGTTTTTTTGTGCTCCTCAACGAATCATCAAATTTCCCTTGAACGTAAAGAATTCGAGTCAGGATTTCCCGGCATCGTAAAGAAAAGCTATGGTGAGAAATAAATCGCAATTTAATCACGTAAGTCGCTTCATATGTACACGTAACAAAACGATAGTAGCGGTTGAGAGTGTGCAAAATGTTTTCGTAGTTATT